CAGCGCCGCGGGGTCTCGGGCTCCGGTCTAACGGAGTCCCGCTTCCGCGCCGCGCGGGGAACGGGCAAGGCGCGCAGGCAGCCCCGTGCGGGCAGCACGCGGTGCTGGTGCTGCTGCCAGAAAGCGTAAATAGAAGCGGGCAGCTTCCAGCAGCGAAGTCGCAGGAGATGAAGGCAGGCGAAAGGGCAGAAGGCAGGATCTGGCCCTGCAGGACAGCCTGCAGCGCTACGGCAGAGATGAGCAGCGGGGGGAGAGAGCAGCTGGCGGTGTATGTATTTATATATACACAGCAACAGGCCAGGCAGGGTGGCCACTACCGTAGCATTGCCACAGCCCTCTCAAGCACATCGTTTTGGGCTGCTAGAGGAGATCTCCTGCACTGCCAGCGCTTACTTTCCTTATCACCGAAAGCTAGAATAAGTGCAAGCAAGCAATGCAGAAAGCCTGAACAGATTGACAGATGATCACGTCAAAGAACAGACACATCCAAGCTCCCTCCCCCAGCAGGCATCATTCTGAAACCAGTCCGCAGGTGGAAAGCAATGAGCATTTTTCCCCCTCTCTTTCCATGTAACCTGGCTTCACCAAGGGGCTGACAACGCTAGACAGCGTAAGCAAGCACTTCAGGAGCACCTAGACAGAAAAATGAAAGAGGCAGCAATACTGATTTGTAACGAAACTGACTTTTATATAAATTATAAACCCATCCAGTTTAAAGCAGATCATTTGCAGTTGTGTCACTTAAGTCCGTAGAAGGCTGAGGCATACATATCTTCTACAGTCATAAATTAACAATGAATAGTCACGGAAGAGAAGTTCAGATAAGGCTGCAGATACAACAACAACAAAAAAATCCCCTCTACGATTACTAGCGGTTAAAATAAAGTCATGATTATCAATGATTGCAAAATATAAATGCAATTGTTGAACAGTTAAAAAGTACAAAAATGATGGGCAACACAAACAGGCATTGTACATTTTGTCCTGTATGTAGACAAAGCAGGGTAGGACTCCTGACCTTTATCTACATCAGACACTGATTTTAAGCAAAGAGAAGAGTTGAGGAGATCTGTAAAAGGATCCTGGCTCATGATCCCAGTAGTATAAAAGCAGTATTTTTTCAGTCTGTAAACAGTAGTCTTGGTAGCTTCTTCTAGGTATGTTTTCCAATTCATCACCAAAAAAAAAAAAATCTGAAAAAAGCCAACCAAACAAAAACAAATCCCAAGAGTGGAAAAGGGGGAACAGCAGCAATGGGTTATAGCTTGAATTTCTTATCGGATCCCTGTGGGACATATTCTGGAGAGGAAATGCTCTTTCGTAAGAAATATATAATATATTTAACTGTACACAATTTATAGGGGGAGAGAAATTTTCCTTCTCCCTCAACCAAGCCCCCAAACAGTCAGTACATAGTCATTTTTGTACACCGTCTCCTATAGAGAAACTACAGCTTGTGAAGAGATGGCACCTGGTTTTAGAAAACACTGAGTAATCCAAAAATTGCATTTGACAAGCTTATCGTTCACCAGTGGCTGGAACTGGAACCGGGACAGCAGCTAACACTGAGAAGCAGTCAGCATTGCTCCTGTGCTGGCACAGGGATGGTTTCAGTGACCAGCCAACGCAGGACCTGTGCTGTGCCGAACGCTGTGATGGGAAGCGAGAGTGAGCCATGGTTCCATCTCTTCTCAGACTTCACTTCAGATGACACGTTCCCCCCCCAGCAGTTTCAATTCTGCTTTTAAGGGAGCTGATGCAGAAAACCTTTTTTTAAAGCAAGTTCTGCTTTCAGGCACATGGGAGGATTTTAAAAGCTTGGTTATAGTAACCTTACACTTGGACTTACATTTTCACCATTGCTAATTGATAGGACTGGTTGAGTTCAACCTGTTGTAGCAGCAGTGGAAGGAAACTCCAGCGTAAATCAGCCCCTGGACTGTCCCCTCTGGAGGAGGGTGCTGTGTCAGCTTTGCATTCAATGCCGGTGTCTGCGCAAAGCCCTCTCTAGTTAGCACTGCCACAGGGGAGGGAGGGAGGGGACAGGAACACCAGCAATGGCAATTCGCCTCCTGGAATGAAAAGGGGCAGTGCAGGTTTCTGGCTCAGTGCTTCTCTCTGAATTGCATCATCTCAGCAATGGGACTGTTTTCACTTACCCTACACATTTCAAAGCATCAGTTTCAGTCATCAGTCTTGCTTTAATTTAAGGAGCACACCTTTCTTTCCAAAAAGGTATTTCTGTACAACATATAAGAATTCAGTTGTTGTTCCTTTTTTTTTTTTTTTTTTTTTTTTTTTTCCTTTCAGCAAAAGTATTACTATAAAACAGACTTAACACATTTTGGTATTCCTCCAGCCCAGAGCACTTACCAGACATTGCAATTAAACTCAGGACATCCATTACAATTTAGACAACCTGCAGACATTCTTCTTTCCCTTTCAGGATGGGGCAAAGCAAAACTAAATCCAGCAAGAGCAGCTATGTGAATTTTTTTTTTTTTTTATACAGGGAATTTATTTTAAAAAAATACTCTCATCAACATTCTAGCATTACTAACAAAACATACTCAGAAGAGATGACAAAGGTAGGATTGTCAGCTCTCTTAAAACTTTAAATATAGACTTCAGAAACTAGCTGCTTTAAATCAGAAGATGAGGAATCTGTAAAGTCTGACCTGTCCCTTGTATTGCAGGTACATGTAACTTTTTTGCCTACCAATTTTAGGCTGCATTACTCCTTTAAAATGAAAAAAACCAAAAACCCCAAAACAAACAAACAACAACAAAAAAAAACCCAAACCAAAAAAAAAACCAACCCAGCAGAAACGCAGATTCAGTGGGAGGAGATGATGCGACTGCACTTTCTAACAGAATGCCTAATGAGCTAGTACTTGAATAATCAAAGATCAACTGCAAAAAGCAAGCATACAGGTACAAAAAGTATTCTCAGCCTCATACCACAGCGGAAGCAAAAGTCACCTCTGCCAACTTAAAACCAAAGCCAATAGGATTTAATTTCTATTAAAATATTTAAGTGTTAAAGTTTCAGTAATCTAAATACACTTTTTGAAAGTCATGATGATTGCTGTTTTACATTAAACTGACATGAAATCAGACCGCAGCGTCAGACTTCACTGCAGCCATTATATACAAGGTCTCTGGTTTTGTCTTTTTTGCTGAAACACCGATTCCCATCTCTCTCTCTAAAGCTCATCAGCCAGGTTTGCTCCTCATCAGGTTTGCAATTTCTCTGAACGTGAAAACAACCTATGTGTGCGCTGACACCACCTCTTCCCTCCGGCGGTTCTCTCCTTAGAGGAACCTGCCCCACCGCCAGGCATGGCTCCCTCCCACCCCGCGACGGAGGGCTGGGCTCTGCTGGAAGGCTGGGTGCAGAGGGTGCTCCTCCAGCGCAGCCTCCCCTCTCCCTGCTTCGCCAACACACTGCATTGGTTCAGTAGGACCAGGTGGCTTGCAGACAAAATAGGCAGCTCCAAAACAGGCTCATTTCATTGGAGGCGGCTGAACGCGGGCATCTACAATTTCTGCATTTCTAAGGCAAGGACCATACAAAAATTATAAACACTGTATGGTGATGAAAATACAACTCCTTTGAGATATATTTGCTTTACACTGGATTTCTATTGCTGCTTCTAAAGACCATCTCCAGTTGTTTCTAGAGATCAAAAGGGAAGAAAGTTAATTTTCTCCTGTTGCAATATGCTTATGAACATGTATAAAAAGTGGTCAAACCCTGATAAGGGTCCCTGCTTCTCATTTATGTACAATAATTTAAATCAGCTCAATATATCTGTAATACCTAAAAAAATTGTTTTATGATTTTAAGTCCTTCATGCATTATGAGGAAGTTCTGGATTAAAGTGATGGTATATTGGATGTTGCTTCTGTCTGGGACTCTGGTGTCACTCCCCTGTGGAGTCTGTCAAGGATGCATTTCTCAAATCTTTAGTTTTTTAATGGTATCAAGTCTCTTTTTCAGCAGCTCGCCAATTTCCTGAACTGAGTGATGGTAACTGCTCTGCACCTTCCCTTGCACAGTCTTTGTAAACTTTTTTTCTTCCTGCA